AGAGAGATAACACAGGGTTTAAAGCATTTGCTTCACATGTGGCGAAGCCCATTTTGACCCCTGAAACCACATTTGGTCACCTGAGCACTGCCATTGAGTGATCCTTGAACACTGAGCCAGGAGTTAAGCCCTGAACACAGTCAGGTGGGGACCAACTACCTCCCCTCCCCGCTGCCAAAACAAAAAAGTGAGATATTCCGCAATCCAGAGAAACAGCTCAAAAGGTCCATCACAGGGCCCCAGGTTCAACTCCCAGAACTAATTCTGGCCTTCTCTGGTACTACTGGGAAGGCCGTCCCTCTCCCTCTAGAGTGAAAAAAGAACAGGCTAGAAAGAACATCAGGTGAGGCAAGCACAGAGGCCCACCATCTCAGCAGGGTATGGTTCCCATAACTCTGACACTGGCAGAGGAACTCAGTGAAACCAGATTTTAAGGAAGCCTCGTGGGCTTCCCGGACAGGACACAGCACAGCATCGCTACGCCCCATCATACCGCAGGCTGCCTGAACTCTGAGACTCATCAGGTCTGAATGGTACAGCCCAGCAGCTTGGGCAACCTTGAGGGCAGAGGGCTGAGTCGACACTCATGAGCAGCCCCCTCCTCAGTGACTCCCAGAGCCCCCTGAGCCCCCTGCTTGCCCAGAGCAGCCTGAGAAGTGCTGAACCAGAACTGGTTTCTAAAGGGTCAGTCTCTCAACATCCAACAGACACAAGAAGTACCTGGTCCCAGAGGCAGAAGCACAGGTGAGAAAGCCTCAGTTTCCCCTTGCCAATGAGAGAGGAAGTCAGTTTTCTCTCTCCAGGTGTTCCATCTCTCCCTTATCAATGTGACACACAATTTCATGCCCAACGTTCTGTCTCAGCATTCCTGGGGTTTCCCAGGAACATAAAACTCTGCCCTGGAGCCTAAGCTGACAGGTAATGGGCAATCCCAGAGTTGAGGCTGAAGGAAAACTAAGACAATGGTCAATTATGCCTGGAGATATTTAGACAGCTAGACATCCCTGTGATTTTCTGGCATCTTCTGTAAATACTGGCAACCGATAAGGAAAGCAAGGAGCCTCTAAAAGGACACACACAAAACTCCCTTTTTAACTTAGTCCTATACTAAGTTGCTCCACACTTGGGGAGTTTCTTTTTTTCTCCTCTACTTTCCAATAAACTTTTCTACTTTCCAAGTCTGAGCATCTGTATCACCCAATATTTTCGTGCTTGAAAATACTGAAGAACCTGGGAACTGCGAAAGAACACAGAGACCGACCGCCACTTCTGTCTCATCTGCATCATTTGGGGTCCTATCCAGGATCACATTTGCAGCAGAAGAGTGTTAAGTGTTGAGAGACTCGAGACCTCTTTCACCTGTTTCTTTGTTTTCGCCTAGTCCTATAGCCCTATCAAAAAAAAAAAAAAAAACAAGCATCCACCCACCCACCACCTGGAAGGTGACTAGCACCGCATGGCCTTTCTTTAGGGTAGGTGAAAGTTCTGTCCGGCTTCCCTTCTCTGTGATCCCCACTTTCCCCTGGCGAGTGGAATGTCACAGATTAGGGATTCAGGTTCTGCTCTTGCTTCTATCTCAGCGGCCCAAGAGGAGCGCGAATTCTAACCATAGTGTAAGCAGCTTGCCATGGCCTCACCTGGACAGGCAGAAGTGAAGCTGTCCCAAAGCAACAGGCTAGTCTGCCCATTCCACAAAGCAGTGTGCTTACTGTGATGACACAAGGTAATCATTTTAGGTCAAGTTCATATACTTCCTGGTCTCCACCCTCCCCCCGGCCCCCGCCCCATTCTCACACCAAAATACCCCCTTCTTGTGGCAACCTTTACTGATTCTGTAAGATGCCCAGGGCACAGGACTGTGCCTCCGTTCCATTGTACCCTAGGGTGACAGAGTGATGCAGGGAGTTCCAAATACAAAAGTGTCTGCCTGCTGTTCGCAGTGCCTTGCACTTCCAATCAGCCAAAAGCATGGAAACCACAGGAAAACACTACTCTGGCATTGCAAAGGTCTCTCCTGGCAGGGAGGCATAGCAGAACTTCCTTTCATAAATCTAACACCCCCAACTTTTGCAATGTGGTTGCCAGAGAAGGTATGGCTGGTAGCTATGTTAGACAGTGTAACTGTATGAAAACAAGTCCTTCAAAGACAGGCGGGTGAGCGAGAAACTGACAACCCAGGCTCAGCTTGGTAACCCATCAGCTGGTATACAGTACAGTTGAGCTCTTTGTAGCCAGCGCTATACTGAGCCTGGCATAGAGTGATACAAGGGTAGGGGAGAGAGGAATAATGAGGCCATTATGCATACAGAGCTTCCTGTAGTTCCATCATCTTCCCACACCCTGCTAAATAAGCTCCTTTCCAGAGAGTTTTAAGCACAAAGCACCATTGACCACACCCTGGAACTAGGACTAAGAAAGCCAGGAAGCAAAACAATTGCTTGTTGGGGAGGAGGGGGTGTGTCCCTGGCAAGTGAAATAGAGCACAGGGGAACACAGCCCACACTGGCTAGTGGCTGGTGCGACAAGGCCTCCAGCTGACCCGAGACCACACCATCAGTGATGGGGGTGGGGGTAGGGAGATGTGAACCCCCACACACAAACCTACAGTTCAGACAATTTAGAACACATTTGTGTGCAAACCCGGCTAGTGCAGGTACTCTCTCATCTGAAACTTTGGAAGAATTTCAGAATTTCTGACGACCACTGTCCTATAAAGTAGGAGATTCTGACGCAGTAACATTGGCGGTCATTTTTGAAGGAACCTAGAAAGTACCCAAAGGCATGAGAGGTGTTTTTTGCTTTTTTTGTTTGTTGTTGTTTTGACATATAAGTGAGGCAGCAGCCTCAAAGTTTGAGAAACAGTGCATAATTTCTTCCTGGTTTAAATTTTAAAGTCTTTGAAACTCCTAACCCATGCAGAGGAAGGTAAGAACTGTTTCTTGATTCTTGTCTCCTTAGCCACTGACTTAGCAGACTCTCAAGAGAGCAGATGCCAAGATTCAGATTTGGTCATAGGAGACCAAAGTGAGTACTCAACAGTGCCCTCACACGCAGCTCTCAATGCCACTTTTGATACCAGAGACTTGATTCCACCTTCGTCATGGTACCTATACCAGGAGGCCTTCAGAAAGTTCCTCAGAGTGACTTTCTTGAAATACCCTAGGGTATCTGTTAAGAAAATATAGTCCTGGGTTCATCTTAGACCAAACTGTGATACTGAAATTCATAATAAAAAAACCACTGGCCTATAGCCCAGTTTCTGTTACAGAACTCCCAGATTCCCCAGAGTTTTTCAAGTGTGATAAAGACATCTTCTGTTATGTTGATAAGGGACTTTGGTGGTGGTGGTGGTGGTGGACCACTTAAGGAAGTCCTAGTGGCCAAAAGAACTACCTTGTGATGAGAGGGTAAGACTTCCCTCCAGGGAGAAAAGCTTCTATGGACTATAACTTAGTTGCCAGTGGTCAACATTAATGAGTTAATCAGTCATTCTCATACACTGAAGTCTCCTTAAAAACCCAAAGAACTCTGGTCTGGAAAAGCTTTCACAGAGAGGAGTGATGACATATGTATGGGTCACTCTGCTGAACACGAGGAGTTCCTTTGTCCAAGACCTGACCTTTTGAACCAGGTGTTGATATTCTTTAATAGTCTTTGCAATAAAATGACAATTTAGTAAGTAAATACATTCCCTGGGCTCTCTGATCAGTTTAGCAAATTAACTGAGACTTAAGAGAAGGATATGGGAACCTCTGATTTGTAGCTAGCTGGTCAGCTATTCAAGTGACCTGGACTGGGACTGGCATCCGAATTGTCCGGTGGCACCTCTGATCCCTGGAATTCCACATGCTCTCCAGGTAGACAATATCAGGACTGGGCTGAGTTGAAGAACCCCAGCTGGTGTCTGGATGACTGCTGAGCAACGAATGTGGAGGGAACCCCTCACCTCCCCCTTCCCAGGAGGCACTGGGCACACACCCCAGAGAGGAAGGGACTAGAATTCAGAGAATTCAGACTGGGTATGATTGGGCAAGACAGCCTTATCTTTACCAAGCTCCTGCAAAGCAGTTATCAACTTGCAACTTCATGAAAAGGCAAAATAACTTGATTCACTTGACTAAATAAGGCAAAACCTACACAGAACAGAGTCTGGACAAGCATATTAAACATTTGGTCACACGTATTAAAAAAAAATTCGTGAAGTCTTAAATTCCAACCCTCCCCTCTTTTTAGGGGTGATTCTGGGCCACATACCTAGTGGTACTCAGGGCTTACTAGTGCCTCTGGCTCAAAGATCACCACTGGCAGTATGCAGGGTACCAGGCTGGTGCCAGGGATAAATCACATGCAAGGCAATCCCCTTTACTTGTTTTCTCTGGTCCCTGAACTCTTATATCTTAATACCAGTCGACTAAAAGTGTCAAAGCGGCATTATCTTCTATAATCAAGTCATCAACCAGTAACCTACTCAGATACTCCCAAACGCACATTCATTTACCCTCTCAGTCTTACACACTACAGTTAAATGCACACATCCTGTGCCAGTAAGATGGGTTGTAGCCTGCACACAGTGTCCTGGTCTCTTGACCTGGTCCTGGTTTTAGACAAACACGAAGGCAGTACACAATTTTCCTTGCTGAACACCTCTAATTTGGGTAAACACGGGAGCTTAAGTCCCTGCTTCACACAAGAACAGGTGGGCCCAATGCGCAAAAGCCTGGCGAAACCATCATCACCAGCCCTCAGCTATTCCTAGCTGACAATCCTCAGCCACACAGGAACTGCAAGTCCAACTCAAAACGATTTTGATTTTATTTGCTACTGGAAAAAGTTTTACTAGTCATTTGGGAAATTTAAAAAGCTCTCAACTTTGGATGCTTCATGACAAAATGACAATTGGGGTACATGCATCCCAAGTTATTCTTAAGACAATTAGGCCAAAATGCGGGTGAGAATATCAAGAAAGCAGCCCAGACTACAAGCAGCGGAACCATAATTACCTGTCTCTCCCCACAGCGTGTCGGTGCCATTGACATCTATTTCATGTTCTTTTTCCAGTCCCAGCAAACACTGGACCACCTGTCAGAAGTGGCAAGGTGATTTAATGAGTTCCCATAGCCATATGTGCTTATTATATCCATGTATCAAAGGAGAGAGGGTGTTGTTTTTTAACCATGATTATCTCATGCTGCACAAGGAGAGAAAATATAATGAAAACCATTTTCAAGCATAATTCATATGCTATTCACACTTTCACTTTGAGATTTTTTTTTTTTTTCAAAAATCCTGGTGCTTTTCAGCAACACTGTTCAGGATTACTAGGTACTCGGAATTCTAATGAATTCCAACGTGACCCAAATATGCCAGCCTAATCAACAAAGGACATGGGAATCAGACAGAGTGCAGCTTTTGCAGAAAGCACCAGAAAAGGGTGAATCTATTTTTTCACAAGGAAGATAAGATGTTGCATGTATATTTTTTCCAATAAAATAAATGGATAGTACTGTCCAGAGGAATTTTCAACTGGTAGCATTGTCTCGGTATCTGACTCTTCTCTCTCCAGATGAGATTGGCCATGCTCAAGGTGATATGGGATCCATAGGGATCTTTTTCCAATGGAGTCTGGGTCCAGGCCGGGAGAGAAGTGCCAGCCTCTGGGGAAAGGGAAGCAGTTCTGCCCTGAGGCAGCTCAGGGGTTCACCCTCAGCAGGAGAAGGAACAGGAGAGCGGGATAAGGCCAGGGTCCAGTAGAGTGAGCAAGTGACCTGCAGAGAGGGCCACATCCCAGTGCCAGAAACCTGCGACAGACCTTTTTCGAAAAGAGGGAATTTGCAGCTGTGATTACAAATTTTAAATGTGCACATTTTATTTGCTTCTGGAAAAAGTCTGGATGACTGAGGTGTGTCTCAGATACTGTCACAAGTGTTCTCAAATGAGGAACAGGCAGAGCCGGGGCTAAGGAAGAAGAAGAGAGAGTGCAGCAGTGTTCACATGCTGGGCCCTGGAGTTGTGATACGGCAACCTACACCAGCTACACCTGGGCAGGTTAATGTGGGTTCAGGAAAAGGGCACTGCATTTGCGATGATGATTTTCAAAGTCTGGACGCACTTAGGCATGGGAAACAGTTTAAAACCATTTACATTTTCAGGTATGTATCTTAACACACTGTGTAATTGTGTACAGGAATATTAAAAATAGGTATGTCTAGTTTTATATTCAAGTAACAGAAATAAATTCATTTTAAAAATCTTTATGAAAGAAATTTTTAAAAGACAAGAATATAGGAAAATTGGCTGGCATAGTTTCATATTTCTGACAACCTTTCCTTAGGTCTGTCTTAATAGAAGACAGCTGTATTCTCAAACTGCTATACTATATTGTGTTGGTTACAATCCTATTTGTGCTTTTGATATTTCGTATGCTCCCAATCAGCCAGAATTGTGCACACATTCTATGTACTCTTGTGTGCTTTTCTTTGTTTCTGGGCCACAGCCAGTGGTGCTCAGGGATTCCTTTTGGCTCTGCACTCAAGGATTACTTCTGCCTGATTTGGGGTGCCAGGGATTAGACCTGGGTCAGCTGCATGCAAGGCAAGTGCCCTACCTGCTGTATAATCTCTTCTGTGGTCTCTACTCTGGTTTTTGTTGTTTGCTTGGGGCCCACACCCAGTGTTGTCAGGGCTTATTTCTGGCTCTGCTCTCAGGGGTCACTCCTGGTAGGGTTTGGGGTACTGAGGATCAGTTGCGTGCAAGGCAAACACTCTACTTGCTATACTATTGCTTCTGCACCCCTACTCTTGTATTTTTAATGCCCAGAGTCAGCCAGCCAGCTCTGCACCCAAATTTCCTTTCAATCTAAGTAAGAAAGAATCTTATTTAACATGGACAACTCTAATTGCTTAGAGGTAATAATATGGAGTGAGAAATACATGGAAGGGAGCAGATAAATGTTACTAAATTCACAGACACTCAGGTCAGGAGATGACAATTAAATCTTCAAGCTAAAGAATACTGACATCTTCCAGAAGTAAGCGCTCTATTTAATTACTGTGTGAAGTTTTTCTTCAGAGCAGGAAATGCAAATGACAAGCATTCTTACATGCTACGGGGGCAATGAGGTTCTATTTTTAAAACTCCTTCAGATACTTGGGACAATTTTAGAACTAGGATTCCATAGGATTATTTTTAAAGACTGCAGGACAAAAGAATTAATCAAAGAGAGAGAGAGAGAAAAAAGGCAGCAGGTTTAGAGAGAGTGCAAGAGAGAGAGAGAACTAGAGAGAGTACGAGAGAGTACAAAGGAAAGAGGAAAAGGAGGGAAACAGGGGGAGAGAGTGAGAAAGACAGAGAGAGAGACTGAGACAGAGAGAGAGTACATGCAGCAGACAGCTCCACATGGTGGAGTGGCACTTGAGATAGTGCTCATCATTACTTGTGGGAGAGGTGTGATGCCAATGAAGGATCCAACAAAGTCTTTAAACCTTATTTTGATGCCTCTGGTGCAGCTCAAGCTAGTAACTCTGACCCCTCGACCCTCCAGCTCCTAGAGGAGCCCAAGCAGCCCCCACTTACCGAGCTGTGGCCCATGCTGGCAGCTGCTGTCAGGGCCTGCTGCAGGGCTTGGCTCTTCCGAGATGTGCCTGGCTGGGGAGGGCCTGTGGACCAGTCGCAGGCCAGCAGGTAACGGAGAATGTCACCATGGCCTCTCAGGGCACTGTGCACCAGTGCACACTGGCCTTTCTTATCCAAGTGGTCTACCTGCAGGGTGAGAGTGGGGGAGGGTCACAAAGCAGCCCACCCTTCTCAAGAAAGCAGGAGCCCCCCACCCCTCCCCCAACTCCCACCCCATCCCTTATCCCACTGCTGATTCCCATGAGGCTCACGCTCCAGCTCCTCTGGAGAGCACGAAACGGCCACGTGAAAAACTTGTCATATGGACTGCACAGTCCAGATCTTGGGGTGCAACTGGGAACTCTCAGCTGAACTCCCAGTGAGGACTCCTTCCTTGCTCCCTAAATCTCTCTGGCAAACTACTTGGAGATGTGAGGTCTCTGAGGAGCAGGTGTGAGAGCATCAACAAAAACCTCTGACAGTCTTCAATCTCCAGGGCAAAATCTAAATACGCTGTGACAAACTGTGTTTTGTGGGGAATAATAGTTCCTGAGCCACGGGAGCCTCTGAGAGGGAGTTCCTCTGGAAAATGCAGAACAAGGGTGGCCAGGAAGGGCTACTAAACCGCGTCTCACCTGGGACAACTCAACCTGGTCAGTCCGGCCACAGAGCCAGGAGGCCAGCAAGCCACCAAGGGAGCAGTCGGCGTGCTACGGACCTCCAACGGTCCAAGACACAGCAGACATGGTCCCTGGTGTTACCTAGAAAACACTGGGTCCAGCTTAGGGTCCAGTCTCATCTGGAAACTTCTAGAGACACTCTGCTCCTCAGCTGCAGAGCTTTCCAAGAGCTGCCTGGGAGACCCTGGCCCTCCTGCGTCCCTCTCAGCAACCAGGGCTGGCTTGGAACAGGCTGAGCCACAGTCTGTGTGTGGCAGTGGAGGTGTAATGACATGCAGTCACGTCCCTATGGATGACTTACATGCCACAAATGCATTTTGAGGAGAAAAAAAAAGCCAAAAGTTTCCCATAGTTACTAATAAATGTCTTTTGTTAAACTTTCAATCACCTAACTCAGGCACTGTCTTAATTCTATTGTTATTCAAAAGCATGGGTCTCTTATCTCAAAGGAAAGCATCAAACTGAAGAGTTTTCTGTGAACTCATGTAGTTTACTAGCATTGCTAGTTCCAGAACATTTTACTCATAAAGTTACTTCCCACTAAAGTTTTAATTTAAAAATACACACACACACACACACACACACACACACACACACACACACACACACACATATATTTGGTTTTGGCGATGCTCAGGGTTTATTCCTGGCTCTGCCCTCAGAAACAATTTCTGGTGGGGCTCGGGGGACCATATGGGATGCGGGGGATCAAATCTGGGTCAGGCCTATGCAAAGGAACTGCTTTACTATCTCTCTAACCCCCATATTAAAGTTATCTTTAATTCTCAAACAATAGCCTCATGGTAGTTATGACTGCTATATTCACTTTTCAGACAAGCTGAATGACTTGACTTGCTCAATGTTAAGAGATTGGCAGGGGGAGACATAGGGAACCCCAGCTGTAGAGTGCCTACAGCCCCAAGTGCAAGCACATGACTTTTAAGTGCCTCAGAACTCAATTACTGTGTTTTAAAATAAGGCATTAAGTGAAGTGTGTGTTTGGGGGTTGGGGGGGATATTAAATATTTAAAATGCTTTCATCTGGTCCTGTTAAATTCTAGGATGCATCTATAGAGTTTTTTTTTTTTTTGCTTTTTTGGTTTTTGAGTCAGATCCAGCAATGCATAGGGGTTACTCCTGGCTCTGCACTCAGGAATTACTCCAGGCAGTGCTCGGGGAACCATATGGGATGCTGGGAATCGAACCTGGGTTGCCTGTGTGCAAGGCAAATGCCCTACCCGCTGTACTATCACTCCAGCCCTCTATAGGAATTTTTTTAAGGATGGCTCTAAATGTGCCTGATCCTCAGAATGTCTCTGGGGTCCTGTTCCACTTGGGGTGCAACACAGAGAAAGAACTTATGAACAAAATCCAGGGCCTTCCTCTAGGGGAAGGCATCAAGCAGAGCCTGAAGCTTATTTCTGCATGAATTTCTGTTCATCTCAACCGGATAAGGCAGGACCAGAATGAAGACTGGCCCAGCAGGCAGTTCTAACAAGGAGATTAAAATGTTCTCCCTCCCACCATCACGGCCCCTTCCCCCACCAGCAGAGATGCCACCTTACCTTGGCCCCCTTCTTGGCCAAGAGACACACCAGCTTCATGTGGCCGGCAGCTGCCGCATAGCACAGGGCAGTCATGCCATTCTCTGACATTCCATCCAGGCAGGCACCAAATTCCAGGAGCAGAGTGATGACTTCCTCGTGGCCAAGGTGGGACTGGACACACAGGATAGGGGCATTGTTTAACACTTCTGTCCTGTAGTTCACATTGGCACCTCCCAAGATGAGGAGACGGCTCACCTGTTGGACAATGTCCCCAATGATATTAATTTCCCACACAGGTCTCAGTCATGACAGCATATGTGAAGGGCAGTATCCTTGATTTATGGACCATGTTAATCTACTGACACTCAAACCTGGGTGCAGAGAAGCATCACCTAGGTATGTTCTCAGGATACACATTCTTGGTGACAGGCATGTCAACGGGTACAGCTGCTACCAAAACAAACCAACCAATAAATCCCATGGTACTGGGGCTTCTCAAAACATGTCATCCCACTTTAGGATCTAATCTAGTCCTTGTTTATCCTTAGAAGATAAGCTCCAAGATCCCAGGACACTTCTGAACTCCTATTACCCAAAACTATAGCTTTTTGTTATACATATCTATACCTAAGATCATTTCCTTGAAAGAAAGTAATATGAACAGTAAAAACAACAACAACAGAAAAACCACTAGAAAATACTGCTTAAAGTCCTGTGAATATCAGGGCTGGAGTGATAGTACATTGGGTACAGCGTTTGCCTTGGACGCAGCTGGGTTTGATTCCCAGCATCTCATATGTATGGTCCCCTGAGCACCACCAGGAGTAGTTCCTGAGTGCATGAGCCAGGAGTAACCCCTGTGCATCTCCGGGTATGACCCAAAAAGAAAAAAAATCCTATGAATATGGTCTCTCATATGAATAATATTCCTGGATGGTGGATGACAGAAGCTAACTGGAACCATGGATAAGAGGTGTATGAGAAAATGTGGTAGCCTCTTACAACGAAATGATATTCAGTCTTTAAATGAAAGGAAACCCTGCCCCATACAAATATGAATGAATCTTGAGGACAATTTGCTGAGTGAAGTAAGGCAGTTATAAGAAGTCAGGTATTTATAATACAACCATGAGGTAAGTAGAGTGGTCAAGTTCATAGAAACAGAAAACAGAATACTGGATCAAAGCTGTAAGGAGGTAGCATGGAGGGGGGGCATGAAAGCTGCTAGATGGATAGAGAATTTTAGCTAGGAAAGATGAAAAACTTCTGGAGATGAACAATCAGGTATACATGCTATTATTATGGATTTTTGCATCTGTAATAAAAAATTAAGCTGGGTATATTACATTTTCTTTTTTAAATAATTTCTTCTTTTAAAAAAAAGTTGCCCATGATTGGGTTTCAGTCATATAATGTTCCAAAGCCTGTCCAGGCCGTGCTCATGCCCCTGAGTGTCTGGTCTGTCTGGGCTGGGCCTAAGAACATGAAGGTCTGCTGAGCTCCTCCTGGACACGCATGCTGTGGGTCTCAGAGAGAGCCTTGGAGAAATGAAATCACTGTTCAAATACCAAAAGGCAACTCACTCTTCTGGCCATAAGATGACCACCAGGGGATTAATTAACAGTGAGAAAACAAAGGTGAAAGCAAACACAGATGCTCTATTTTCTGACAGGGAGGTGCAGCACCTAAAAGGAAAAGCAGAATCAGGAGAACATTCCCAAGCCCTGGGACTGAGCAGTGCCAGCCTCCTGTAAAGTCACCTTCATTTCTTCTTACTAAATAAACACTACTCTCCCGCCAGCCCGGAACTCCCTGGTTCAAAGCAAAAAAAATAAAAAATAAAAAATAAGAGCAAAAAGTGTTACCTACAAATGTTAAGATAAAAATCACAGAATATTTTAAACTAGGTCTTCAAAGCTCCCGATTATTCTAAGTGCCATTTCTTTAACACCCATTACAAAGCTCACTGCATTTATCCCCAGAGCTCCCTTAGCTCATCCTACCCATCAATCACGCCCCCAGATCGCAAGCTGCCCACTCATGAGGTGTGAAAACCAGGAGAGACTGTCATGGATTAGACTAGAGTGGGGATCATTAGAAGACGGGAAAGGAAGACAAGTCTCTGTTCAAGGCTGAAGGTGCTGCAGTGACAGGAGTGCAGAGCAGCTGACGGGAAAGTTACAGATGAGAGAAATGCTGCTGGCAGGTGGTGAGTTGTGTCAGAGCCCCCGAGGCAGCATGCAAGGAACCGGCCGAACCAAGCAGGTCAACACATAGGACCCAGCATCGACTCCCACTCGGGCCTCCTCTCCTAGTGCCTCTCCATGGCAGCCTTGCTGAGTCTCAGGCCTGTCCCTCACAGACATAGGCAGGTTCTGGTCTTCTGGTCTTCCCCATCTGGTTCCTCCTGTGAAGAAGGCCCTGTTCTTACGCAGACAGTGAGATCACTCCTGTGAGTCTCTGCTCCAATGCCCGATCACCAGAGAGCAGCCCCCACTGTACCCAGAACCCTCACACTCCATGCCACCACAGGATCCACACATAACTCTAGCCCCAGAGCTCCCTGGCCCTCCACACACTCCTGTCTGACTTAGCTCACGGCAGCAGACCCAGGAGTGCCACAGTCAAACAGCCTACATGGCAGGGCCAGCCCATATGTCAGCTCGTGCCCCTTTTACTAACCCTCACTGACCGCAAGGCAGGCCAGATCATGCACAAGTGCCTCAGGGAAGGGGGTCTGAGAGACAGTAGAGCGAGCAGGCAAGACCTGGCTTACACCTACCCTCGGCTCAATCTGGCTCAGTCCACATATGGTCCCCAGAACCCTACCAGTTGTGACCCCTGAGCTCAGAGACAACAATATGCACTGAGCCTCTCTAGATGTGTCCACAAAACCCCAACCTTAAAGGGAGGAGGGGAGTTCAAGAAAGGGCCCTTAAGTTCTCAGCTATATCAGTAGCAAGTCAGTCTCTTGTCCCCTGCCGCCAACCAGCTGGGCAGAATGGGAAGGTAGAAAACACATGGAGGGAAAGATGAGGGAAGGTGGCGATGTGCAAGGACTCCATATGGGTGCTTGGCACACCACCACCTCAGCTCCGCTCATCGGCCCCACAGTGAACACAGGCGTCCTCCTTACCACAACACAAGACTCACCACAACTCAAGAAATAAAAGCTGTTAAGTGCTAGACAAAAGTGAGAGGTTTTTTTTTCTGGTCTTTTTGGGGTCATACATGGTGAAGCTTAGAGGAGCTACTCCTGAGTCTGCACTCAATTACTTCTGGTAGTTCTCGGGACTATATGGGATGCCAGTCATCAAAGCAGGGTCTGCCGTGTGCAAGGCAAATGCCCTACCCACTGTACTGTTGCTCTGGCCCCAGGAAGCAAGTGTTCTTAAGACAAGGATAATGCTGGTAAAATTCTTGAGTTCTGTTGTTGTTGTTTTTGTTGTTTTTGGGTCATACCTGGCAATACACAGGGCTGACTCCCAGATCTGCACTCAAGAATTATTCCTGGAGGTGCTCAGGGGACCATTTGGAATTTCAGGATCAAATCCAGGTTGGTCATGTGCAAGGCAAATGTCCAACGTACTGTACTATCTCTCTGGCCCCAAACCTGCTAAAATTCTTGAGAGATTTATTAAGGCTTTGGAAAATTTTCTTAGAGGATTTTCTTAGAGGAAAATCCTGACAGCTTTCCACATAATGTCCCTGAAGGATGCGTCCAAATCTGATCACCCCAGGACAGGCAGGAACATGCTGGATATCTTCCTCCCTCCATCATCATTTTGTCTTTTTGAGTTCACACTTGGTGATACTCAGAGGGGTTACTCCTGGGTCTGCACTCAATTACTTCTGGTGGTGCTCAGGGGACCATATGGGGTGCCGATGATTGAACCCAGGTCTGCAGCATGCAAGGTAGAATGCCCTACCCACTGTACTGCTCCAGCCTTCTTGAGATAACTGAACCTCAGAGAACAAGATGCTGATGTCCTCAATCAGTCTCTTAACTAACTTACTGTGTGATTTCAGAAAATTACCCAACTTCTCTGTGCTCCATGCAGCCTTTAAAGAAACAGTATGCCAATTTATTCGACCTGCTACTCTCTGCCAACGAGGCTGAGAGGCATACTTTCAGTCATAGCTTGCTAAAAACCTTCCAAGACCTGGAAGGACATGCATAGGGACAGAACTTTCCTATAGATGTTCCTCATCAATTCACACTTCACCTGCTTCTTGGGGAAAACATTTCCTTCGCAGGGACTAGGCTGCAGTTGGTTTGTTTGTTTTACCACTTAACCCCCAATCAGTTTGTGAATCTTCCACTCACCTCTAGCACTTATCCGCCGCAAACCCTGAAACCACCTGGGAGTCTACAAGTTTCCAGTGCCTGAGCCCCACCCTGGGAGATTCTGACTTGGCCAGGGCCCCCGCCAGCTCCCAGGTGGCTCCTGCTGGCAGCCAGGACTGTAAACACATCAGGTGACAAGCGAGCCTGCGGAGTGTGGGCTCACTCTGCGCCAGGGAGATCTGGAATAGGCCACCGAGCATCCTCAGCCTCAACATCCTCTTCTGGAAAGAAAGTTGCTCTTGCATTTCTCCAGCTCACTGTGAATATTGAAGGTGTGGAGTGTACCCCACACAGGCATGCCACACCCCTCTGCTGCGTGCATCTTAAGTGCGGCAATCACCTCTCTCTGAATGGGAAAAGAGCTGGACCCTGACCCCTGAAAAGTACAGCAGAAAGTTCTATCCAAGGTTCCTGGTGATCCAAACTTCCAGTGTCTCGGGATAATTGCAGGGTGGCCCTGAGTCCCCTGAGTAGCTTCATGGTAGGAAGCAACAGGCTGAGATGGCTGAGATACTCATATGCATACGGCAGAGTCAGAGTTTCCAGAGAGGAGGAGAAGCACTAACACAAACCACTCGCCCGAGCATGCAACACATGCCCAGTCTTTCCCAGGGGCACCAACATCCCCTCCAAGACTTCCCATCATGCCAGGTCTCATGAACTTGTCACATCCATTTTTTTTGGGGGCGGGGTGGAGAATACCAGAAATCAAACCCAGGGCTTCATACATTGTGATGCATGGGCTCCAACCCTGAGCTACATCCCGGGCCCCAGGTTCCTTCCACATTACAGGCCAGTAATAGCAGGGTGCCAGGCGGCCCTGGCACAAAGTCGATCCCTGTCACAACAGTGCTGCTGCAGAGAGCAACTGCAGCTTAGCTGACTCTGCCTTTGAGGCAGGGCTGTTTAATAGGTTATCCTGGCAGTCCCCTGACTCCATGGACATTTTCCAACCACTGTCACAACATCACCTCTCCACACACGACATACTCTGGCAATATACTCTATAAGCACTTGCAATTAATGAATGCAAGAAAAGAAGGAAAGGGCAAGGTAGGCAAAGGGATGTGATCACGAGGTCCTGAAGTGGCCCCTGGGAACACAGTACCCAGTGGATCTCCAGTTTTAATTTTTTGAGTATATGAAAATTTATTACTACTGTGCTTTCATCATTAAAACTTAGGATCTTGTCTTTCCTTCTTATCTTTATACAAAGCCAAAAGGGACATACTGGCGACACTGACAACCTTAAAGCAGACTCCAGGAATGTCACCAACAGCATGCCCTTTGCGACCAAATCCAGCAACCAGAAGTTCATTGTTTTCCTCAATAAAATTCAAGCAGCCATCATTTGGTACAAAGGCTGTGATTTTTTTTTCCCATTCTTCATCATCTGAACTCAGACATAGCTGTTTAGTCGCAATACCAACTTTCTCTAGCATGGTCCCCTTTGCATGGGATGCAGTCTTGAAACGGCTGGCGTTCAGGGCCATGTTCAAATGCACTTTCTCGTACTACTTGTCATGCCACTTCTGATCTCGCCAGAGGCTGTGGAGCTTCCGGACAGCACGATGACCGCGCCATTTGCTCATCCTGCCAGTAGCATGGGCCCGAGCGAAAGGGGGCCCCAGTTTCCAAGTATTATTGAAAGAAAATAGGTTCTATATGGAGCATCCTATGAGGCTCACCAAGACTTAACCCTTGACTGAACTCCAGTTTCAGCCTCTCTCAGAAGAAGAAATCAAAGGGAGCCCGGGGAGTTTCCTGGCCAGCAGGAGTCCATCTCTCTCACCACAGGATCCTGCTCTCCAGGGAGGGAGGCTGAAATAATCCTTTTCTTTTGTAGATGCCCTTGTTCCATCCTGTCTGACTACAAAAACCTTCCATATTTTATAGCTTTGTAGCTGTGCTTTTCTACCAGCTAGATGGGATGCTTCCTAATCTACAATTTTTAAAAAATTAAACCAATTAGATCTTTAAGCTTACCTGGGTTGAACTTTTACTTATAGAGTCGTGCATATCAACATAACCACTTAAAAAGGCATGTGGCCTGACTGTGAGCCAGGATGTGCCCAGGTCTTCTCTGCCAAAGGAAGTTAGGCCAAAGTTCTTTTCTAACTCCCTGCCTTCAACAGGAAGGACCTCAACAGCCTTGGCCACTTAGGGGTCACCCCAGAGCCAGAAGATGGGGCCGGATGAGCAAACCCACAAGGTGGCTGGAGTTTGGAGCTGGCCTGGCCTGGCACACACTTGACAGAAATTCTGGCCCTGTGCACAAATGAAAACCCATCTACTAAGTAATCATTCCAGAGTAAGTCATTTTAATTTACCAAAGTGGCAAACTGCAATTATTGCTCAAAATGACATTCATTCCTGTATGACAACATTTAATACTCCCTAAAAAAAGTTCCTTAATTGCATGCATAATTTTTAAATTACTGTAATTTGTTCAAGATTCTGTGAAAACCCCTTTTTTCTTTTCAAAGATAAAAGAAACAGAATGATAATGGGAAGCCTTAAAATTCTATAACCAAGATAAATAATGTTGGGGATAGCGTAGATGCGGGTGACACTGGAGTTCTACAAAACAAAGATGAATAGCTCTTAAAACTGCAAGTTTGTTAGAAGAGGAGAGTTTGTAATCCCAGAAGGGTCAAGCTCATTATATTATCATCCTAGATACCTTCTAATTTACTGTCTTAAAACTCATTCAATAGTGTATATCATTGCTCTTCTGCTTTTCTCCAAGTTAGAATAATTCTAGGTCTGTAAGTCATTAAAATAATGAAAAACAGATATTAGCATTTTATTCTTATTTCTTTACTTCTTACTATCATTATAGAATTTTGTTAATTATAAAAAGCCCAAGATTAGGTATAGATAAAACAATGCTATAGCACTTCAGTTCTAATTTTTTTCTTTTTCTTTTTTTTTTTTTTCGTAGATGCAGGACAGTCGTTTATTGAGACTTATTTAGAAAGATGTGAGTGGAGACAAAAGTGAAGTATGTGTTCAAGAGAGAATATGGGATTCTCCAGAGTGGAAATAGGCAAGCAAAGAAATAGAGAGACAAGCAAGCGAGATATATGTTCAAGGGAGAATAGGGGCATGAAGAGCAAGCCTCAGTTCTAATTTTTATACTCTCAGGAAAACAATAATTCTTAGCATGACTGCTTCATTATGTGGAGTTGAAGCTCACTCTTTTCTCCACCTTTCTTTGAAGTGACTTCATCTAGAAAGATTCTCCCTTTGATCACCCGCTGGAGCTACTTGGCTCTACTTCTTCCCAACTATTAAAATAGGATTCCCTGTCCCCCTACCCTTAATCCTTGCATTCAGGCTCAGTGGGGATGAGCTGGAAAATAAGGGAACATGCTCAGGAGTACCGCGGAATGTGCACAGCCAGGAGACTCCTCCACAGTGCTCTTCCCCTGGGGCAGGGCAGGCTAAAACCCAGTTCCTGGACCTCTAAACAGGGCTGAGTCTGCCTGAGTAAGGCCATGCCTCCATCCTGGTCCAGAGATCCTGTGTGCCCCGTGGGGATGGTGGCCTTTCTCTCACCCACCTTGAGGCCCCACCTGGGGCACAGAGCTCTGGGTGAGGTGCTTCAGGAGAACTGATGAAGGGGTAGCTCTTCATCAACCCATTGTACGGCAGAAGTGGAGATGTGAAGTGCAGTGTGGGAGTGTAGTAGTGGGGAGCAGAACTAGTAACATTGGAGGCCATATTAAAAAGGTGCTGAACATTGATCTAAAAATGTCTAGTGATAAGGAAAAACAAAGTGCAACTGCATGGTGGTGGATGTTAAGGAGACTGATGTTAAGGCCCACATAGCATTTTATTTTATTTGCAACTACTGAATTGTTAGCTCGCCGATCTGTCACTGATAGTAGAAGATATAGCTCAATAAAACAGAACAGTGGGATGGAGCGCATGCTTTGCCGATAGTAGTCCTTGAGAAATGGGTTGGGGATATAGACAAAGTGGTTCAACACACACTGAGCACACGGAAGGCACTTAGTCTCATCCCTAGCCTCACAGGGTGTGTGTGTGTGTGTGTGTGTGTGTGTGTGTGTGTGTGTGTGTGTGCGCGCGTGTCTCTCTCTATCTCTCTTTTTTGCCTTTTGGGTCATACTCAGCAATGCTCAGGGAGTTACTCCTGGCTCTGAACTCAGGAATTACTCCTGGCAGTGCCTGGGAGACAATATCAGATGCTGGGAATTGAACCCAGGTTGGCTGCGTGCAAGGAAAACACCCTACCTGCTGTACTATTGCTCCGGTCCAGGCTTTGTCTTTCTCACACCCAGCACCACCAGATGTAGCCCAGCTGCAGGAGCAAGCCCCATAAATTATATATATATGTGTGTGTGTGTGTGTGTGTGTGTGTGTGTGTGTGTGTGTGTGTGTGTATGTGTATACATATGAAATACAGAAAATACACCAGGAAGGCAGGAAAATGACAAGAGGGTGTTCCATGCTACCTAACAAGAGGATATGCTCCACAAGTTTCAGAGCCCCAGACACACATGTGAGGTGCAGAGCTGAAGAATGCAGTACAGACAAGTAAGAGAGAAACAGAGGACCCCAGGAGTGAGAGTCCCTTGTAGGGTCTCCCCCCACTATGAGGTTCATAAACCTCAAAACTGAGATCTAAAAGAATGTGCTGAAACTTCCAAGGTGTCCCTATCCTTGCTGCATTGGCCATGGTGGGCCAGGCTCCTGCTATCCAGAGGGCACAGGATGCCCATCTTCATGGAGGCAAGGAAAGGGCAGCCCTGGGATCCTGCCTGGAGTTTCTGCAGCTGTAGGCACAGCAGGTCCTGGGGCTAAAGGCCTGTAGTCTGTCTAGCAGGAATGTCCAGTTAGGAGGCAGACTCTAAACCATAAAGATATTTATGATCTCATTTAGTTTGCACTGGAAAGGCAGTGAATGTAAAATGTAAGCCAGTCATTCCTACACTCTGTGGAGGTGAACCTTCTTGGCTGCCTTCACAGACACCTGGCCTTTGTGTGCCCTCCATCATTTGACTGCTTTAAGTGCGGAAGGAAAGTCTACTCTAAAACTCTCATTAGTGGGTCAGGCAGACAGGAGAGGGGGTAAGCCGTTTCCTCGCATGTAGAAGACCGTGGCTTCATGCCCAGCACTACAGATTGTCCATCCCACCAACACGGCTGGAAGTGATCCTTGAATGTAGACCCAGAAGTAAACCCCAAGTACTGCTGCGTGTGGCAAAAGAGAAGAAAAAAACCCAAAAAACCTGAAGGAAAAACAAACAAACAAAAGAAATGAACAAACAAGTTTACTAGCAATACAGCTGCTTTCCAAAGTCCTAAGTATGTGGCATGAAATTTTTCTGAACAATCTTCCTCAGTGTATGAGCCCCCCCCCCCCCCGCACCAAATCACTCATACGTACTTAAAAATTTCCTATGAAACAGAGAGACAGGCCAGATTAGAAAACAAAGATGATTAAAAAGATTTAAAAAATCTATTTTTGCTGGAAATCCCCCTTTGGTTTCCTTTGTGAATGACTTCCTTAACACAGTCACCTCATGTTCATAGAGCAGCCCCAACCACCCACATCCTCCTGGCCACACAAACAGTAAACCTAGAATCCATCACAGGGCATCTGGACTGGGTGACCTATACCAGGGAACTGGAGTCAGGAGATGCCCCTGTGCCACTGGGGGCCACCAGCAGTACAGGGGAGAGTGGCCTGCTCTGCTGGAGGAGAGGTCAGGCTGGGCCCTGGCTTCCCTGCAGGAGGGACACTCACTTTCACGTTGGGGGTGTAGAGATTCCTGAGAGAGGCGAGGGCAGCAGACAGCCCTTCGGTGCTGTACCCAATCCACAGGGCTTGGAGATGGCTTGAAGAGATCCCCGTCTTCTTACTCAGGCCCTGGAAGCAATCAGAAACAAACCGGCCTCAGTGTCTCCTTGTCCCTTTGTAGGGGTAGCAGGTGCCAGAGGGTGCGGCTATTTGCTCACACATGGGGAGAGCCATAAGCGTGGACCTGTGAAACTTCCCTCCCGGGTGGAGGGCTGGCAGGTTTTTGCCATATGAAGTGTGTGCTGGGGATAGCGTTGGTGGATTTCAGGCTTTCTTTACAGCAGGTCTCTGAAGTAAAAGCCTATCACCTTTCTGTAACTGCTAATGGGTATGTGAGTTTGGACAGAGAGCGGCGGGGCTGACGGCCTGACATCAAGAGAAATGAGCACAAGCACTATGCCCCCAGGAGCAAGACACCCAGAGAAAGACCACAGAGATAATCTCCAAGTGAAACTATAAAGTAATTGTGATCCTCTGTTCCCCAATACCACAGCCCCCAACATTAAACCTCAACCTAATTATGCCTCTAGATATAATTACCAAATGACAGGAAATCCAGATCAAAGAGGAACACATCAAGTTGGACTATGAGAAATAAGGACACAATCTGAAAATCCAGGTACTGTGTAGGCCATGTCATATTTTGTTGTTTTGGGGCCACACCTGGTGGTGCTCTGGGCTTACTCCTGGCTCTGCACTCAGGGATCACTCATGATGGTTCAGGGACGGAACATAGGTCAGCTTCATGCAAGGCAAGCATGTTCCTTGCTGTACTATCTCTCAGGCCCCCAAGTAAGAGTCTTAAATGACCAAATTATGAGGAAACAAAAAGAAAATGAATCAAGTGGAACCTTTAGGTGTAAATAAACTTTAAAGATTCACAGAAGGGCTGGGGAGATTTCTCACAAGTCTGGAGCACATGCTTTGCAGGAGGGAGCTCTGAGTTTGGTCTCTGTCATCACATAATTCTGAGTACTCCTGGGAATAGATCCCAAGCACCAACAATACCTTCCGCAAACACAGACTTACAGAAACTTTTTCTTGGGGGCTGGTGGGGGTGGGGGATTGCCAAAGATCAAATATAGAACCCCACATATGCAAGGCAAACACTCTTCTACTGAGTCACATCCCTGGTCTGAAACATTAAAGATTTAAAGGGGAAACAGTAAAACTTAACCATAGCACTTAAATGTATACTTGAGGGATAAACTAGAAAGATGCAGGACAATGGTTATAAATCAGAAGAATGATTAGGGAGAAAGGAGGAACCATATTTGGAATGGGACTTAGGAAAGCTGAGATGTCCGAGAGCGCTGTTGAACCCCCCGACCCACGAATACTCAGGAGAAGTGATGAGAACAGCAGCAGGAATGAGATTCCTCAGTGTGAACGCATCTCACCTTGAAAATATGGGCCTTTAGGATGTGGTGGCCAAGCTCCATGGTCTGCTGGCGGTTGAGCTTGCCCTCCTGTCGGGAGAACATGAATGCCAGCAGAGCGTGCCCATTCCTAAGCAAGAGAAATACAAGGGCTGAAAACAGAAGACCCCCATCTATTGCACCCCCACGGCAAGACCCCCTCAGTGAAAAGATTGCAACAAGTCCCCTGAACTCTTCCCCATCAGATCACCATCCACGAGGGAAAAGATTCCTCTTCACAGAAAATGCAAAGGCTGTTGATTCTTTAAGGCACTTTAAAACCTTTCTCTAGGTTCCCCATCTCTGTGGAGTGACCAGTGAGAGGAAATTTAGGACAAGGAAGTCTGTATTTTGTTTGTTTTGTTTTTTTGGGTCACAGCCAGTGATGCAACGGGGTTACTCCTGGCTTTGCACTTAGGAATTACTCCTGGCAGTGTTCAGGGGACTATAAGGGATACTAGAAACCCAGGTCGGCTGCGTGCAGGGCCCTACCCACTGTACTATCACTCCAGCCCCAAATCTGTATCTTTGAAATCTGCCACAGACCATCTGAATGAACCCTTAGATTCTTGCCACCTTATTTGATTTCTCTCTGTCACTTAAGTGCAATGTCTGTGAGACTAAGGAGTTTGCTGCAGTCACAATACTACTAGACCTTTCATGAGGTGGCCACTATGCCCATCTCCCCTCTAGATCTGGAGGGACTCATACTTTCTCCCTGGGTTACCATGGCTTTGCCTGGTAAATTTGCATGGGAAAGATGTGAAGAGTTGCTTACTCTGACAGCACTGACTTTTGCATAAAATGTGTGTTATTTTCATTTCTATCAACCTAGCAACTGTGAGGGGTTGTCTTATTGGGAGAAAAGCAAGTATATTTGTAGGGCAAAAGACACTATGGAATACTTCATTGTTATGTCTTTTTTAGTGGCTGCTAATTTAGACAATTAAAGCATGCATCATTTCAACTGCATTTCTCCAATTGTATGTCAGTTTCTCAAATCAGTTATAAACAAGGTTAACTATGAGGAAATAAGGCAGGAAGACACCAAGAAAATGCTTTTTAAATTACAGAGGACATGCCTTTTAAATCCAGGCTGCCACTGGCAGCTGTCTTGCGTCTTTCAAGGGTCTGGGGCTCTCCCATAAGAAACACGCTCCATGTGTTCTCACACTCCCCCTCGAAGACCCCAGGTGTGGATTCCCTCCTCAGGTGATGAACTCCCTCCCATGTTCCCAGCCCTTCTCCTTACATACATGGAAACCACTCTCTCCCAGTTTCAGTGCTCGGCATCCTTCCTCTTCCTATCCATGGCTGCCCATGACATTCAGCATGGGTCTAGTCAGGCCACTCAACTAGGGTTAAGCCATCCTCAGTCTCTCAAACTTTGTGGTCATAACCACTGTATCCGCTACAGACACACTGAACTATTGAAGTCGCATGGGTGGCCCTTGAGGAGTGATGACCTTTGGCTTAGGGCCAAAGGTTTCCAGTGTCCTCAGACAAGATGAAGCTTCTCATAGTGCCATGGAGACAATTCACTACGTAATCGAGGACCAACTGCTACCCTTTGTGTCTCTTCTTCATTGTCATCGTGTTCCCTTTGAAGTCTCCCTGCATTCAAGAGTAATTCTCCAAAGCTTATACATATCAAACTTTTATCTGTATATGCCAAATGCAAAACTGTAACTAACAAGATTTACCTGACCTGCATAGCCCTGTGAATCACGAAATACTGCGTTTTTAGGGTATATAATGAATAGGGCAAAACTTGTTCAGTGATTTGTCCAAAGTGAACTGCTTGACAAATAACTGAGTAGAGATTTGAAGTAGTTTCTCCATCATAATATCCCATTCCATTACTATGCATTTCTAATTTTTTCATTTATTATCAATCACTTATTGCTGGCATATACTTAATACTTGGGATTCTGCAGGAAACAATGGAAGATGTTTCCTGTGAGGTGCTCTGTGACTCAGAAGATATAAACAAGGGGAAATTCAGGTAGCCCATGGTATTATGGACATACTTAAGGGGAACACAGGAAGCAAGCTGTCCCCCTTCCACCGCTCCCCTGTGGCTCCACCATTTCCAATAATTCCTTTGTGAATCATTTTTCTGCACCGTCTCACGGTATTTCCAACAACAACCCAATTTCCTGTATCATTAACAGCAAAAATCATCCCCAAACACAAACAACTCCAGGTCTCTCAACTCCTCTGCTTCCTCTTCCAGAATACTGGAACTCTTCTTCACTCCTCACACCTTTATTGAAGAAACCTCCTAATATCCAGGACCTACTTCTCTACTGGCAAGTGAATGGTTCCTCTGAATCCTCATTCTCTCTCAGGGCAACATTTAAACCTGTAATATGTTTCTTGGAAATTCTTTTCCAGGCCTCACAAGTCCAGCGCTCCCTTTCCTTTAGCAATATTTCCCTGCCACATCCCACCGCCCACACCATTAAAGATGCCAAACCTTACTTCCACTTCAACCTTCAGAGTTCACAAAAGTCTGTCTACCAGACAGTTCTGTCAACTCCTCATGCTCAAACTGCTGAAAACAAAAGTCAATTTCTGCTTTTAAATCCACCTCATTCCTGGGCCCTTGTCCCACTTTCCAGAAGCAATGCCTCCCTGGGTTCTGAGACTTTCCACCTTCGAGTCAACTACTTAATTTGCAAAGCTGTAGAGTAAACACTGAGAGGGCTGGAGCAACAGGACAACTTGCACACAGTCAACTCCTGACACCTCAGAGTCCCTCTGAGCACAGAGCCAGGAGTAAGACCTAAGCACAGTTGGGTGTGGCACAAAAACAAACGAAACACACTAAAAATTCTAATCTACCTAATAAAAGGCAGGGTAGTAGTTGTAATATATATATATATATATATATATATATAATGATTTGGAACATACTTAAAATGCAGAGAAAGGCTGAAATAATAATATGAGTATCACTCTCTTAGTTAGGGAGTTAGTCTCTGGCTCTAAGGTGACTTTTAAATTCTCTATAATCACAGCCAAAGTACACTGAAATGGGGTAAGAGGAGCATTGCTCCTTCCAAAGGCCCAACCCATGCATCACCATGCATATAAGTGATTTTGCAGTGCTGAGACCTTGCCCTGGGATTCCAACTGCAGGCCTTGCACAAGGTGGGACTACCAAAGCTTCTGCTGAATGCAGTCAGTAGCTTCCTTCAACATCATTCTAGATGCTATCTCTTTACGCATCAGGGTCTTAGGTGGATGCCAACCTGTGCAATTCCAAGGAGCAGAATCTCCTTCACACTTTGTATCACAGCCTCTCAATTCTGGTCCTGGCCCTACTCCCCAGTTTGTAGGACACATCAACTCTAGGAGGTCCATAACTGGGAGGTGTCTGACTTTTTAGGCACCCACTCCCAGATCTATCCTAGGCTTTAAAATCTCACTGACCCCTAAACTCCTCCCCTTTCACCGTCACCCCCACCCCCCACACACCCTAAACCACACTGAATGAAACTCTGTGACTACAGCCCAATCCAGTTATTTCTGCTCAAACCCCAATTAGAAAGCAACTCAGCTTGTTGGGTTCTCTCCGCTTTGATTATGTCTCTACAAACTCAACTACAGCCATTTTCTGAGAAAATGATGCTACCCCTCCTTAAAAAAACGCTGAGTTGACAAAAAATGTCTCATCACACATTTCATAGCTGTTACAATCTGGCTAATTAACCTAGAAGTTAGTCTTGTACCCCAAACCAAGGTACTATATAGGTTTAAAAGGTCTCATTTCTAGTCAGCATGACCTAAGGAGATGACACCAACCACAGCATAAAATAGCCGCTAGGTCAAAAGGGTCAAAATGAAGTGAATAACTGTGGGGAGGAAGGTGGTGTGCCATTCACTACTGTTCTGTTCACTTCTGGACCCCAGCATCTGGATGGATGCACAGTCCTACCCACAGGGACAGTTGGTAGGCTGCTGCACTTCCTATAAGACTGGACACCAACTCTGACTCACAGAAAGCAGTTGCTGTTCATGACAGGAAAGACACAGGCTACAGGCAGAGTTGGGCAGATACGGGCACGAACATACTGCAATCTGAAAGCAGCTGCACCCTCCTGCGTCCTCCAAGCTCACATTCCCTGACTTCCCCACAACGAGTATCAGGCTGCAAACAGGTCTACTGATCCCGACTGGCCAGGAGCAGGGAGAAGACAGGCATCTGGGACCAGTCTTGCTGCAGATCCTGGATGGAGCCTTGAACTCCCGGGAGGGATGCAGCTGAATTTCATCATCTCAAAAAGGGACAGCAAACCCTCGAAGCCACTGACCCTAAATCACGCTCCGATCAACTGTGACCATACCACAAATCTAAAACAAGGTCGCCAGCGTGTCACTGTCTCTGCCCCGCACCCCACCTGCTGACATCTCTGATCCCTGAGACGAGATGCTGCAAGGACCAAGAGGCGTCAGCCCTTAGATCCTCAGGGGAAGAGAACAAGCTAGTAACAACCTCTAGAGAAGTCTCTGGAGCTAATGTCTCCCTCCCCCACTGTGTTATTCTGAACTGTGACTGGGAACAGGGGTCTAGAAAACAATAGATGGTGGAAAATATCACCAGACTAGGTCTCACTTCCCTTTTATCTGAACGTCCTGAGGCGTTTTAAAACTCTAGCAATTAAAGGAGGGACGCTTGTTTAGTAGCAGGCAGAATTTTCCATTGCCCCTCCTGAATTATTCATCTCGCATTGCCTTTCCATTAAAAAATGTGAATTGCGTTTGAAATCTTTCCCCCGACTGCACATTAGACTCCCCGCAACGCGCTGACAGCAAGTGGCCTGTCATACCTGGGCTCGCACAGGAAGGCCGTGTTTTCGCCATCTGCTCTCCACACAAGCCACTCCCTGAAGGACGGGTGGCAGAACATGCGGGTTTTGTCTCGCCTCTTAATGAGGAAGCAAGAGAGGGCCTCCATCCTCTGCTGAAAGTCATCCCATCCCTGCTCCCCTTGTATGTGGCCCGCGTTGATGGCCTGGAAGATCTGCTCATCCGTCATGGGGTGGAGGGAGGCCAGGGCCACATTGAGAATGGGAAGTGCCCTCTCGAAGGCCGACTGCGTCATGAACTTCAGGTTGCATTGCAGCAGGTAGAGCTCGGACAGGGACACGGGCACCACCTTATAGCTGGCACTCTTGATGACCAAGTGGCCCTTCTGGAAGAGGTCCAGGGTGAGCTTGAGGTACAGGAAGGAGCCCAGGCTGCGCAGCACCAGGTGGCTGCTGACTTTGGCGATGAGGGCGGCATCGGCCTTGCCGTTCAGGGAGATGTTGCTGAGGATGTCCTGGCTGCTGCGCACCCTGTGCTGCACGTAGGCCTGCAGGTCGCTGTGGATGTCCTTGTTGTCGGGAAAGTCATCTAAGGAGAACTTGACAAAGGGCAGCGGGCTGACAATTTCCTGCAGGGGAGATGGGGGGGAGGGGGGAGGGGGGGAGACAAAAACTCAGTGTCACTCCACAGAGGTTTTTGTTGTTGGTGCTTTCATTTCAACATTTCCAACTAGAACCACTGGCTTTCTTTCCAGGGGGAGATTATCCTGGATTACAGGGACTCATTGTTTTGCATTAAAACATGTAATAGGATAAATTGAAGATAAAAAGCTTAAGTGAAAGAAATCCTGATGCAAGATCAGATCAGGAAAGGTTTTCCCCAAGGTCCTTATCTAGAACTCAGCAGCGGCAGAGGGATGTATCAGCTCCAGCAGGTGACAGCAACCTGGACAGACCAGCAAAGGGACAGCTAGACCCTGCAGATGACTTGATACCCATCATTCTCACATTGTGCAACTGTTTATGTAACAAGAACAGACACAGACCAGCTCTGCACATCTAAAAACAGTCAGGTGTCGAGACAAGAGTCCTGTCTGACTGTGCACTGGACATTTGAGCCACGTGAAGTGACCAGGAAAGCAGAAGCTGCCTGCAGACTGTGCCTATGACAGTCTGTTCACACCAAAACTGTTGCATGGTAGCTGAGGATTATTTTGGGAAATGCTATGGCTTCAAAACATACACCACCAATGTCCCCAGTTTCCTTCCTGTCACCATCACCACCTTCCCCTGACCCTGCCCACCCCCCACCCCAGCATGCCTCTGGGGCAGCACTCTTCTTCTTTCTCTAAATAGTTTTTAAATCCAGCACATATAAATATAATACTAAAAGTTGTTAGTATTCATCATGGTACAGTTTGGTTTGAGGACGGGAAAAAGATTCGAGAATTCTTTTTATACCTGAAAATTTGCTCTTACAGTCACAATCAACTTTAACCAGGCGGGAAATTTAGAGATAATTTTGGTAATAAACGAAGAAAGCGTATCTCCATAATCAGGTTTGTGAAACTCAGCTTCATTTAAGCCATCTATCAGAATAATATAGTCTTCTTCAGGAATTTTCTGCTCTAAAGATAAAATAATTAAAAAAAAATAAGACATGTCTGTAAGATGGCAACCCCAACATATTTTATACTCAACTCAAAGTGTTAGAAAAACTAGAAATGATTTACATATGGCTGAAGAAATGGTTTTCACAGAAGCACGTTCTCTATTATGTTTGTAATGAAAATCAGAGCACAGAGCCCAAAGAAAATCAATTCTCACAAAACAGTTTTCAGAAACATATTGTGTGACACACATTAGCAGAATCTCACCCAGTATATGATAGATTGTTATAAACTCATATCACTGGGGTGAGTACAACAAAGAAATCAAATACAGACTGACACAGAGAGATGCAACTGGAAGTCCGTTCCAGGGAAGGAAAAGGTGAGCCACCAGCCCAGGTCACGCAGCAATCCAACTGGAGAAAGCCTCGCGTCACAGACTCTCCACAAAGGGCACTCTTCTGCAAGTCTGAGCCTAATTTTCTATTTGCTAATGCCAACTTTCCGCCCAGGGAACCAGGAGGAATAGGGATATCAGTTTCAATCCCCTCTCTCTTGCACCTTCAGGCAGAAAAGCTATGAAGGCAGTCCAACTAGTTCTAGAGGAAAAGAGGAGGAGGAGGAGGATGGAGAACACCAAAGTCCCACGGAGGACAGTCAAGGGCGAATGGGCAATTCTGAAAATGGCTTTCAGTTCAACTCAACTGAGCAGAGGCCCTGGAAATGCTGGCCAACTCCCCGACTCATGCTCCTGCTATGTAGGAGTGCAGAGTGTGCCGGCAACAATTTCTGGGGCACAAGTCATCTAGATCACCTGCAGTTACAAATTAGCTACTTTGGAAATGTTCAACTCTGTGTTAATTCTTCTTAGAGAGGTTTCATCCAAACATGCTCCATTTAAAGCACCCTGGGGGGTGGGCTGGCAGGGGGGAATCTCCAAGAGATGTCTTTGAGGAAGTGGGGGAGAGGGGCACTGATGCTCCCCTCCCTCACTCCTACCCAGCACCAACCTCCTCCCTCAGAGGCTCCCCGGAAGCACTGGTTAAGGGCAGCTCGCAGCTCGCTAATAATTTCCTGCGAGGGAGATGGAGGGGACGAAGGGGTGGGGGCTGGGGCTGAGGAGGAGGGTCTCGGGGTCTGCCTGGAGGTACCGGTTCTCAGGTTTGTGAGAGGCTCCAGCACTCCCCTCTTGAAGGCGGCAACCGGATCCTGCACGCAGGACCTGAGGCTTAGCATGCTCTGCAACTGTGGCTCCTTGATCAGCAGGTCTCGGTAGGCGGCCAGCTGGTGAGAGCGACAGAGGAGCGCCGCGATGCTGTGCACGAACTCGGGCACCAGGCACGTGTAGGTGTTATCGGCCTGGCAGTAGTGGTAGGCCACAACCTGCGGGCAAACAGCTCTGTCAGCAACCCCAAGTGCCACTCTTAACTGAGCATGGAGAAAACACAACACACCACTCCCTTGTCCACACCACCCCCCAATTATTTGGCATAAATAGTTCACTTATTTCTTCTTCATTTGAGTGATTTGCCCTATTTCAGGCATGAGTCTAACTGCGGGCACAAATCCATCTAAAACCAGCTTTAAGTTACTGGGTATGATACAGAAATTAACAAAAAGTTGATCGTCAGGCTACCTGGCTGAAGGCAATCCCAGTGTTTTTTAAAGAGATACAGGTGCCATCTTCATGTTATTCCTGTTTTAAAAATCTCCTAAGGATACTTCCTTGCCGCTCCCCCAAAACAGATCATACAGTTGAAAGTTGGCCACGAAGGGCAGGCTATAAATCCACTGCCCCTCATCCTCCCCCAAAGAAGGACTGGCAGCCTGGGTCCAATCCTCACCCTGACACCCCACACGACAATGCAAAGTTCCACAGGGATGGAGTAGGAAGGGCCAAATCAGGAATCACTGTTTTCTGCCTATGGTGTGAAGGGATCCTAGGGAGAGGCTTGGTTCCTGCCCAGGTTCTGAATGGATAAAAGGCTCCTTTGGTTGGAACAGGTTTGGAGCAGCAGTAGGGTATCTGTCAGAGAGACCCCCAAGGCAAACTATCCTGGGAGAGCAAGGATACTTAGATTAGTGAAAAACCTGATGCTAACCTACATGAAGATGAAGGGAGGAACTGATCCCTTATCAAGAAAAGCAAGTGAAAAAGAAAAGAAAGAAAAGCAAGTGAAGGAGAGGGCACATTGAGCCAGGGAGAGGGGGAGGGAAGAGATGGAGGGAGAACGAGAGAGAGAGAGAGAGAGCAAGAGCGAGTGAGCACACAAAGAAGTGAAAAGTGTTGAAGTACATTTATGTGTGATACCTCGTGCTTTACAAAGCGGTATGCCCCTACATCCCCCAGCTCAAGTGAGACAAGAACCATGACCTTCAGCCAAAGGGCAGCAGCACACAGGCCAAATGCCCTGCGGGGGAACCAGGAAATCAGCCGCAAAAGATGTGGGATGAGATTCCAGATCATGCAGACTCTAATAGAGCAAGAGTGGGCATTCCCACCAGCAATGAAGGAGAGTGCCTTACTCCCTGCATCCATGCCAATACCGGCTGTTTTCGTTCTTTTGGGGGGATGCATACTTGAACATTGTTTGACTGAAACACAATCATGAAAGTCTGTAAATGTATCTCACGATGATTTATTAAAATTAAAAAAAAAGAAAAATAAATAAATAAATAAAAGAGCAAGAGTGGATACAGCCAGGTTTGCAACAGCTATGTGACTTCTGCTTTAGGTTTTGTTTATCACCAACTCTCAGAGGAAAGCTGAAGGCCCATCTGTCCTGGATAGAGATTAGCAGTCCCATAAATGAGGCTCCATGCACCTAGACCAACCACCAGTGGCATATCCAGTCGCACCATCTATTCTAGCACAGGCCTGACAAGGATGGTGGGTAGCACAGCAGTGGCTCATGAAATCAATGCGGTGCCTTAACAAAGGGCATTTTTATTAGTGAAATAAGCTTGAGAAAGACAAACACCATGTGATTTGACATTTATGCTCACATGTAGTACACAAAAAAAATCAAACAAGTGAACTAAAGAAATAAGAATAAATTTTTAGACTAGAAGAACAATTAAAGGTTATCAGAGGGGAATAGACAAAAAAAATGGATAAACTGAGTAATAGAGGACAAAGATATACTGAAGGATAGGACTGGATCTTCAGTGCTGAGCTTAATGCAGTACATATGGGTAGTGATTTGTACTGATGCACACCTGAAACCTCTACAATGCTTTAATGCAAACTTTGACAAAAGTTATTTTATAAAAATAAAGTGACCACAGAGCAAAATGAGTTCTAATGCCTTTATTTCAGCTGAGAGAGAGAGAGAGAGAGAGAGAGGGAGAGAGAGAGTGTGTGTGTGTGTGTGTGATTTGTGTGTGAGAGTACTAGGTCTCAGGGAAGTATGTATTTCTAATTGAGGGGCATGCATCAGGTCAAAACTCACTGAAGGAGAAGTGATTCTGAGGCTTCATTCTCAAGTCACCCACTTGTGACCAGACGATGGGTTCCTATCCGTGCCATGGGGGAGCAAGTGAGGAGGGAGTTAGGGCAAAGAAGCAGTCTTTCCTGCACCAACCTCAGCGCTGGAGCTTGCCTCACCAGACTCCACTCCTTGCTGTCTACCCTCTGGTGAGACTCCAGCTCCACCAACTGCCCCCCCCCCCCCCCGCTCCCCCGGGAGTCGGAGCAGTTCATGAGGCATAAGAGAGGAGAGAGGTACCTTCCTGAGAGCAGAGGGGTGGCTTAATGAGCCTGTGGTAGATGTGGGACAGAAAAGGAATTTCAAAGGGCCGTTATGACCTTGAGTTCAGTAAAGAACATCGGCTGACTTTCCTTCTGTCATAAAATCACTTCTATCATTAAGAAATCTCTGACACAAGGATACAGGGGCCGAAGGCACCTGGATTGAGCATAGCAGAAGAGGCCCTGGCCACACTAAAGGCTCCCCATTTCTGAACCCCACTTCAAGTTGAGGAGAGCATGTGTTTCAAGGATGGCTTTGTGGCAAATGCAATGTCTTCTGCAGCTCTAAGGATTAAGACGAACAACAAAGTCTACTACCAGCACCTTAAGATTGTTCATTTCATAAGTCCCCTTTTATTTGGAATATTCTATCACAATTTTATCACAAGATATATGTTTGTGCTGCTATAGTTGTCTGTTTTAAGAAATAGGGGTATTTTTGTTTTGTTTTGTTTGGGGCAGAAGGGGAGGTGGGGGCACACCCAGCAGTGCTCACTTGCAGTTCTGAAGATAGAACAGTGTCATCTGAAGGCAATGCAAGCCCTTTACCCCTATCTGTCTCTCTAACCTAGTCACTGTTTTAAAATTCCTTTTCAATTCCTTTCTCAGAATCTTAAACTAAAATCTCTCCCTCCCTACCCTCCGCTCTGGCTTTTTCTCTCACTCTCTATCTCCCAAAGATTCCTATGACCTTGAGTTTAGCAAAGGAAATAGATTACCTTAGAAGCAAGATGTTTGGCTGCATCCTCTCTTGATCTCTGGTTTTCAGGAATATCAGTTCCAAACCCAGGGGGCGTCTTAGCAGTGTTGGTGCCAGAATTTGGGGAAAGCAATGGGAGATCCTGGGAGGAATCTGAAGCTGCAGAAAAACAGGGACCAATATCATTACTGAAAACATCAGAATAGGGGTAAAATTCATTTTATTTTATTTTGCAGAGCTGGGTATCAAACCAGGGCCTTTCACATGCAAATGTGTTACATACTGAGCTACATTCTGGGCTATGAATATAAGACTTGACTAAACCCAGTTAGTATTTTAATAGGTAATGAGTAAACACATACCAGATGCAAAAGCCCAAATGACATCAAAGTCTCCCTTTTCAGTCCTGTCTCCCATCCACCCAGATTGTTGTTCCTAGTTTCTTTATTTGATTTTTTCCCCTTTTTTAAAAAAATTCTTGTATGGTTCAATAGTTTCTGTTCATCACGTTAGTGACATTTACTTTTAATGGGTTTTTTGGCACACAAAATAAGCCATGAATAGTCAAGTATTTGGCTACTCCATCCCATTTAAGAATTACTTTTTTATACTCTGGGTAATCCGGTTCAGAAGACAAAGGCTGTGGAGAAAGAAAGGATATAAAAGAATTCCACCAGTGCCCTTTTGGCTTGTTTTCCCAGGAGCCTAAACTAGGGTTTTTGGAATAAAGATTTCTCAGAGCACTGATCAGGCTTCTTGGCCCCATCCCTGCCCACAAAAGGGATTCAGGCCTTTGAGACAGAAGTGCAGGGAAGGCTGTCTCCATCCAGGGTTTTTAGCTAGAGAAGTACTGTGATAGATGGAAGCATTCACACAGTTCTCTAATAAGTGATGGCAAATTTGATACAGCAGCTGGAACAAGTTGAGCAAAACTGGGAATTTATGGCTATCCAAACAGCAATTTCCTCCACTCTCTTATAGGGGTATAATAAACTGGACAAGGAGTTAACCACGGACATACTTTTAGGTGATGAGCTGGGGCTGTTGGAAGCAATCTGCCTCATGCGGCTCCCGTGGCAGCTGAGTGCCACCAACTTAGAAACAATGGCTGTCTTCCCAAAGCCCACGTTTCCAACGACCACTGCTCCTCTGTTTTCCGTCAGCGCTGTGTTCCTCAAGCTTTCTTCTATCTGATGAAAGAGCCAATCCCTTCCCACAAACACGGAGTCTGTTGTTATGCTTGGTACTTCAAACAATAAGGGTTTCAATAAAATGTCTTGTGGCTTGTAGGGAGCAAATCGTGCTTGAGGGGAGAAAAAGGTTATTTTAGAAGAATGTCAATTATATATGCAATTTATCATTGTTTATGCTTAGTGTAGCCTCTACTGTCAAATTACACAAGAAAACAGTATTTCCTGTCTGGTTCTATTACTACTTCTGCAATATCACATTTATTGGTGTTACAAGGTGTCCTGTTTAAAAATCCCTCTGTAAACCTTCTAAGCTTTTTTCTTTTGACTCCAGGCAGAGATACTGAGAATTGGAGAAAGTGATGCAAGGGGTCAAAATATGTATCATTTGCCTATTGAAAAAATATTTCTATTTCTTTCACTACTGTCTAAGTAAAATGGGCATACTTAAATAAAACGGCTCCTTAGAGAAAGATTCATGGTCCTCATCTGGGTGAGAAGGTGCTTTGCCCAAGTGCTAAGTCTGCTAACCACAAGCACTCCCAAAGGCAGAATGCAGGAGGTGGTCAATATACTCCAAGAAAATGAAACAGAGCTGATTGATTCCACCTGGTAATAAAATAAGTAAACCTAAAGAGCATTAAGCTACACCTCATGCCAAAAATAATATACTGCAGAATCATTATTCAATCACCTAGGCAAGCAATCACATTTTCGATAAAGTTCCAAAGTGTTAAAAAGATGGCCTCTTCTGACACCTAAGGACAGTAGATACACGGGACAGATAGATTGCTCCATCGCTGGAAGCCTGCCTCATGAGCAAAGGGGAGAAGGCAGCTGGAATAGAGAAGGGATCACTAAGAAAAAGATGGCTGGAGGAATCGGTCGGGATGGGAGATGTGTGCAGAAAGTAGATAAAGGAACAAACATGATAACCTCTCTGGGTCTGTATTGCAAACCATAATGCCCAAAAGTAGAGAGAGATTATGGGGAATCATGTCTGCACGGAGGCGGGGGGGTGGGTGGGAAAGGGGGGGTATACTGGGGATATTGGTGGTAGGGAATGTGCACTGGTGGAGGGATGGGTGTTTGATCATTGTGTGATTGTAACTCAAACATGCAGCTTGTAACTATCTCACGGTGATTCAATAAAATTAAAAAATAAATAAATAAATAAAAGATGGCCTCTTAGCACACCTCACAGATAAGCTTAGCACACACATGCACTTCACATCGTGTTTTAAAACAATTGGTTTTAATGATGGTTATCACAGACTTTCAACATAGGTGGATCCATGACCACAGCTGATGCAAGGATTCCTTTAACTGCCCGTGCCCTACCTCCAGCTGTGTTGTGCCATGGCAATCTGATCGACGTTCGGAGAGGAGCATTTCTCTGTCCATCTAAATAGCTCAAGTCTTCCAATTTGGTTGAGCTTGTCGCTGTAATGTTAAATGGAATTTTAGTTTCTTCAAAACTCAGCTTAATATTCTCCCCAAACTATTATAAATTAGGAATCACTGAGCAATTTAGTTAAGGTTTTCAACCAAATTTACTTCAAGGTGATTCTGGTTTTGTTCAATGCAATTTACTTTTCCAGCAGTGTTGTTAAACACAAAGTGACAACGATTAAGTGCCTCTCATTCTGAAATCAAAGTCCTGTTGCCATGGTTGCCAGAAACCACATTTCTTTTGTTCTGAGGAGAGACACAAATTTTCATCATTCCTTTTTATAACAAAATTTGACAAACAACAGTCATCCATAAAATATCAATACTTGTTGCAAACATGCAGCAATACGGTAAGTTTTTCCTGCAGCTAGCACTCCCCATCAATGAAAATCCAATTTTGTAAATTGAGCACATTTTACCTGTATGACTCCACAGTACTCAATACTACAATTATTATATATTCATGCACATAAGTATGTATATATGTACATATATGTGTACATATGCATCTATGATACACTAATACTATAAAACAAAGTATATATTTTTCAAATCCTAAAAATAAGAATGCTATTTAACTCTTAAGAAAATCACTAAGACTCAAAAAATTTCATAGCTAATGGTCAAAAAGCAGTAAAGGTCTATCCAATGAATAAGTGTGTATGCTACTCAAGCACACATAAATTGAATTACAAAAACAGTCAGTGCAAAATAAATTTGCTATCTCTTGGTGCGTCTTAGAACCACATACAAAGTACATATTTCTACCTTAAGACACAGAATATTCTCTTATTTCTGTACAAAACCTGGGTTACAGCGAGGACAATCTAAATAAAATAAACATAGTATTGTCTGTGGGTTAAGAATCCCAACATAAAGTACTGGCATCTCATATATAGTATTGCTTTGCAGAAAAATAAAATGCAGATATCACCTGAAGGTGAGTGAAGTGGGGAAGGAAGTCAGATCACTCCACCTCAGTATGCCCAGGTCTGAAAGGACAGCAGCAAATGGGGTGTCTATTCTGCTGAAAGTCTTTGACTACCAAAAAGGCTCAGATGCAGCATCCAACAGCTGCAGGCATGCTCGCCTGAGGGGATCTATGTTCCCTCCTCACCTCAGTCCTTCGTTTCCTGGCTGCTCGCTCCCAGACAGACTGTACTGATGTGCCCACTCTGGCTGCAGGCAGCACCTTACCCCAGAGAGTGACACATCAGAAAGCCTGACTTGACAACAGCCTAAAATGATGCTTCCATAGCAGCCTTCTGGTACTATTCCCCCATCAAGCCACTTAACCATTCAGTACATGATTACCTTGAATTCAAGTTCAAATTAATCTCTCCCATTAGAAAGACTCAGCTAATTCCTCAGGAAGAACTTCCCCAAAAGGTTACATTTATGGGAGTCCAATGGTAGCCTCTAGTTTCTCTCTAGCTCCTATGTAACAAGAACATGTGAAAGTGTCCATTTGTGTGTGTGGGGGGGGAAGAGGTATCTAGGATCACTTGTGAGCCTGACTCCCCACAATAATACAACTGGGACTCTGGCCACAGTCTCTGCCAATATCCCTCTCCTCAGCAGAACTCGCACACCGGAGGCTACTGCCAAAGGGGCAGCCACAGCATGAAATCAAAGCCAGTTCTCTTAGGGCCCAAACACTCAGACGTGCAACCTGCTGTTTCAGCCCTGGGGAATCCAAACATGCCTGGTACCTCCATAGGGCTTCTTCCCTTGACCCCTCAGCACATACTGTTCGGTTTTATCATTTTGTGATGACTGAGCAGATTAAGACTGCAAGAATATTACAGGGCATTCCAATGAAATGACTGCCAAAAAAAAAAAAAGTTCTAGAATGATACTGATGTAGGAGATAAGGTTCCAAATGTCTCCAAGTTTCAGTTCCAAAGTAGGCAACATAAACACCTCACCTCCTCCATTAGCTCTGAGTCTGTTTCCAACACACTTAGGCAGTGTTAAAACTGACCACAGCTGGGGGCTGGAGCAATACCCCAGCGGGTAGGGCATTTGCCTTGCATACAGCTGACTAGGGTTTGATTCCCAGTATCCCACATGATCCCCTGAGCCCTGCCAGGAGTAATTCCTGAGTGTAGAGCCAGGAGTAACCCCCGAGCATTGCCGAGTGTGACCCAAAAAGCAGAAAACAAACAAACAAACAAAAAAACCTGACCACAGCTTTAAAGGCTTGGACGCCAGCATCTGGCTTCCTTTGCTTCCCAAGCTGTGAAGCCACTAAGATAGACTGCAGGAGATTAGCTGTGAACTCCAGCGAATGTCCACACCCTGTGTTCCTTCAGCAGCAGAGCAGATGGCCAGGACTGCATTCTACTTCTCACATTTGCCCATAGTAGATTCTCAGATATTACCAGTATGAGAACCTATCTGTTTACATATTTAAAAACAAGAACTTTAAAAATCCCAAATACCATTCATATCTTCAGGAAAAAAATTCAGTAGTAAACAAATAATTTCGTGGGGCAATATTCTGGACACTAACATCACTACAGTTCAATTCATTATACACTTATAGCCTGTACATGCAGTCTCACATCTGAGTGGGAAGCTTTGTAACATCTCAGGAAAACTGCTGCAGGAAAGAGTTTGTGCTTGTTTCGGTGGGATGGTGGGGAGTGGATAGGGTGGAGAGAGACATTCTCTAAGATGAGAAGTATCAGTTGAAAATGATGGATTAAGCTATCAAAATACATGCTATTAAGTCTAGGATAGTTACCAGAATGTCAAAAATTAGGCAATTGTGTTTGCTGGTTTCTTAGAAAAGTAAACACTGTGATCCACTCTGAAAGTATTTCCAAAGGGGATGGGGTTGGGAGGAACTAGTCATAAGGACCAAGTAATCTAAATTCTAGATGATATAAGACATCGCTTTTCATTGTACCGGTTGGTTTTCTTGACAAAGGAAAATAGGTGACCATGTCCTACATTTTGGTATCAATAACCTAATGGAAACAATTATAAATCAATCTGATTGCAACAAATATTTTCAAAGAATTCTCAGCAAAACTATCTCTAATCCTAGTCAATTTTTTTTCATCATCTTTGACCAAAAACAATTCACTGAACAAACAACTATATTCCTTTTAACATGTTCCATGACAGACAAGTCTGGTAACCTTAGCACCTGGTTTCTATCCTCTCAGCCCTGGAGGCCGGGTCTCTGGGGCAGCTGTGAACAGAGCCTGGCTGCCATCCTTGCTGTGCCTGCCTGTCCTTACGCTGCCTTCTGTACCAAAACACTTTCTGAATTTTCAAATGGAAATTTAGAGTCTGGGGAGATGATGAGAGTGCATAATTTGCAAGCTTGGGTTTGATGCTTGCTTCTACTGGGAGTTAACTCCCAAACACCTAACAGGGAGTAGCTCCCAGGCACACCAGGTGTAGCCCCCAAACAAACAAACACAATGCAATCTATCGATGTACCTACACACGCAAGTACTTTTCAGATATTTCAGTCCTTCACCAAAAAAAAATTTTTTTTGGCCAGGGAGAGTGGTATCACACAACTGGTGGTGCTCAGGGCTTACTCATGACTGTGCTCAGCGATCACTCCTGGCAGAGTTCAGGGGCCCATATGAGGTCCTGGAGATTGAGCCTACACTGGCTCTAGGCAAGCTTAGCACTGTATCCATTGTACTATCAACTCCAGCCCTATATCATATTTTTATCCTCTTCACTCTGAGTTTCACTTCCTGACTGGCTTGTAGAAACTTACTTCTGAGTCATTTGATGACAGACAGTGCTGCCTTTCCCCCACTTTTCCACTCACAACTCTCGCTCAGGAATTTTTTATGTGACCCAAGTGTATAAGACAGGTATATGAGACAACATCTATTGATTATAAACCATAGTGATTTTTATTTTAAAGATTTTTAGGGCTGGCAAGCTAGTTCAGGGCTTAGAGCACATGTCTTGTATGTGGCTGGACTCGGTTTGATCCCTCGCACCTCCTGGTTTCTACCAGCCCTTCCTCTCTCCAGAAGTGACCCTTTAAGAGTCAAGAGTATGCCCTGAGAACCACTGAATGCAGCCTCAAAACCATAAGTTAAAAAAAAAGCCCTTTGAGGCCAGGCAGATACATAATGCAGCGGTCAGGGGCTGCAGAATGTGTCCTGGTGGTCTCTTGTACTGCAGCACCCGAGCAGTATCACATTCTTGGGCCACTGCTCTAAACTTCTGTTCTAGTTAGCAAGAATCACCTGGAGTGGTCTATGAACACAAAGACCACTTGGGGGCCTCCTTCCCCAGGTTAAAGTAAAATAGAATCAGTTTTTAAGATTTTTCATGACTCCCACATTCAGCTACGTGATCCCATTATAAGGCTGAAATCCAGAGTTTAAGAAGCTATGTCTGGTGTAACTCAAATCTTATTCTTTTCATTGTATCTGAAAAACCCTGCCATTCTCTCTTAATTAAGGTTCTGCTTTAAAGGTAGGATGGTGGGGCTGGAGCGATAGTACAGCAAGGAGAGACGAGTCTTGCACATGCCAACCTGGGTTCAATCCGTGGGATTCCATACGGTCCCCAAGCACCAACAGGAGTAATTCCTGAGTGTAGACCCAGCACTAGCCCTTGAGCGTCGGTGACCCCAAAGCAAAAAGGAAATAACAATAATAATAATAAATAAAGGTAGAATGATGGTGGACAATGGGCAATCTATCAGACCCCTAGTCTGTTAGGTTACTATGAGGAAAGGCATTAGCCCATTTCCTTCCCAAATATGCTTTCAGCTTACAAAATACACAACACAGGTGAAATGAGCAAATCCATTAAGTGATTTGATGCTCAAACTCCAAGGCAAAAATCCTGCCATACTCTTATGCCTGTATAGCAGCTAATGAGTGAGCACAGCAGAAAGCAGAGAGCCCTGCTCTGCAATCACTGCAGTCTCCTGGAAAAGCCCAGCTCACACCCACTGTCACATTACCAGGCAGGAAACCACAGAAAAGAACTTCAAGCAGAAAACATAACCCCAAGTGGGGTGCCTTTAACACTGGTAAATTCAAATGTATTATGGTGTTTTCCTAATTTAAAAAAAATCTTCATTAAATTGAAATCAAGTTGTCCCTTTTTTTTGCAGTCGATACAGCTATCGCACTCTGGGATAATATAAATGAACCATTCATCATAACTAGGTAAAAATGGTCTAAAATCCAGTGGGTGCAATATTGTGCAGTAGTACAGGGTGGTGGAAAGACGCAGAAGCCTGAGGGAGACGCACAGCTCAGTGTGTACGGCTTCCCCCCACAAGCTCCCCGGCCAACATGTCACATCCCTCTTTTGGAACAAGGCCATCACACTTCCTTTAAAAGCGAATTAAGAGCTGTGTCGCAGAACTTTTCCATTAGAGCCTCTTATTTATCAGCTCCTTCAGAGTTCCATTGTAAAAAGCACCACCAACAACCAGAGTGGCTGACCACATCCTGAAGCAGCGGTATAAATTACAGAAAAAAACCCTTTGATGTAGGAAGAAGAAACCTGGCTCCATGAGTCATTAGTGGGAGAGGGAAATATGTAGGGTTACTTTGGTTGCAAAGAACAAGTTTCTCTTCTAAATTCAATCCTAGAGCACCGACTTCAGAAATGTAGCACCTAGAAATGGGCAGGACAGCTGCTCTGCAGAGGTCCTTCCCCTGTCCACCCCAAATCACTCTCTTTGACATGTAACTGACTGGTCAACAAACCACAGTCCCAGTCTGTTCTTCCTCATCTCTAAGTAGCAGCTGCTCCCTCTTCCTGAGACTGAGAGTTGGACCTATTATCACTGTCTTGACTGAGAAATATCACTTCCACTGTTTAAGCTCTGAGCACCCTTATATGTGAGTTATATAACAATTGGAGCTCCTATCAATGATAAAGCTAATAATTTTAAAATTACAAAGGGGACACACAGAGGTAGTACAGTGGGTGAGACACTTGCCTTGCATGTGACTGACCTGGGTTTGAATGCCTGGCACCCCATATGGCCCTGCAAGCCTGCCAGGAGTAAATGACCCCTCTATAAGTGACCTCTAAGCAAAGAGACAGGAGTAAACTCAGTACCACTGGGTATACCCCCCCGCCCCACTCTCCCCCCCTTTAATGATAAAGGATCAAAATGGTACTTTAAGGGATGGAGTGACAGTACAGTGGGTAGGGTGTTTGCCCTGCATGAAGCCTATCCAGGTTCTATCCCCAAGACCTCTTATGGTCTCCCTTGCTTGCCAGGAGTGATCCCTGAGTGCAGAGCCAGAAGCAAGCCCTGAGCAATGTTGCATGTGGCCCCCAAATTAAAGTAAGTCAATAGTAATTTTAAAAAGCTCTAAGATAGGATGAGTAAATTCTCTGAGCTGATATTAACAAATTCACTGTAACAATGATGGCTGATGACCAAAATGTCATAAGAAGTCATGATTCTGTTTAGGTTTCAAATAACAAGAAAACCAAGGAAAGAATTTTTAAAAATCTTTTCTTCCTTCTACACAGTTAGAATTAGAGTTAGAGTCCTAAGCTTAAAGAGTCCTGGAAGGGAAGGATCACAGACACACCATGAACACAGAACCTGTGTCTAGAGCTGGTGAGCAGAGGCCTAGCAAAGCGACGTGCCTGCGCCAGGCTCACAGACCAGGCCCATGTCTCAATTCAATTCCCAGCTGAAGAGAAAACCCAGTGCACTCAGACCCAGCAACATAACCCTGCCAGGGAGAGGCGTAGACTCACCTGCAACGGAGTTGGGCCGTGGCATGATTAGCGAGCTGGAGCTCTGAGAATAGGGGACCGGACCATCTCCAGCAGAGCCTTCAGCTTTGGGCAGCGTGCTCTCGGCAGGCCCCGAGGGCTCCTCTTCTGCCACTGGGGAGCAATTATCCGCCCTGCGATCATGAAGCACTCCCTTCTGGACCCCGAGCCTTAGGCTTCCGTCTTTATTCCATTCCAAACTGGAGCCACTCCGGTCATCATTTTCGGATGAACTTGTAATTGTGGCTGAAATGAGAGACCAAAACACTTTACAGAAGGCCAGGCTGTGCTGGTGGAGTGGGGAGTTAGCACACACTGCCTCCCCTCCATGATCAATGGAAAGTTTCCCGTCTCCCAGAGATTTTTATCAAAGTATGTTTCATACAATGTATTTTGGTAAATTAGAGGAATGCTGCTTATCAGGGGAAATAAACTGCTAAATCATTCTATAAGGAAGGGAGGTGGAAACCTCTGATAAGAAGATAATGAAAAAGTTGTCTGAAACTTTTAGAGTTAACAGCAAATTGATGTAATTTGGAGATAAAGCACTCACTCACTTTAACAAAGATTAATTGCTCACAGAAGTATTCCTATGTCATTTAATGACCTTGAATCTTTATATATTTTCCAAATCACCAACATTTGTGTACAGAGGGAGGGAGGGCACAGAGCATTTACCGTGGTAAGTGCAGAAAAGAAGAAAATCCATTAAAACAAAAATACAATCATAAAATCAAGCAGAATTTTTACTCTTTAGAATTAAAGTTTATAACATCAGTTCAAAGCAATTCAAAGAGGTTGACTTGACTTTATTCCTTTTGCAGCTTAAAATGGAAAACTTTCATGTAACAAGCACAGGAAACATACCAGCATGGGAAGGCATGCTTGTTTGTCAAATTAGTATTTAGCCAGAATGGAAAAAATTCTTGGCAAAAGAGAACAAATATGAAGAAGGAAAGAAAAACATTTACCTATCTAGCTTTTACAAGCAAAGCCACCTCTAAGCTTAAAGACACTGCGTAATATATGAGCCCCTTTAACCACATGTCACTGTGGCGCTAACATGGCTTGTGTCCTTCAGAAGGGGACATGCCTTCTGTGTTTTCCTTTTAGATTCCAGTAAGCCAGGAACTTTTCAAGAGACTCAGATGGGAATGGACTGTGTCAGAGTTGCTTCACCTCTATCATGCAGATACCCTTTTTATCACCAGGCTGAGGAATTAGCTTCAATAGAATCTGTTATCTAAGATCAAAGGGTCTAAACAAGGCCTGTTTTACTATATAGTTCTTGAAGGTTTAGAAACAAAAATGACAAAATTTCCTTACTGTGACTGTGACCAGAGAGCATTCTGTCACAATTCTAAGTCAGCCTCTGCTCCTCCTGCTCCACTCTGCTCTGTCTAAAAAATCCTCCAACACAACTAATTTAATCGTTTCCTGAAAATGCAGTGTTTGGCACATCTGAGGTTCTCAATCAGGGTCTGCCTTTTGAATGAATCAGTAAGTGAACAAACCTGGCCTCCCCCTGTGGCCAGAGACAGGACACCAGTCTCAATGGACCTGGTGATGCACTGCTGGAATTAAGACTTTGCATTCTGGAGCCTGAGTTTGCTCCTCAGCTCCATATGGTTTCCCAGCCCACTTCCAGCACTATCAGGAACAGCCTCCAAGCACTGTTGGGCGTGTGCTCTCACCGAAAAATAAAAGTTTACGTCAACTTGAAACCTTTCAGTTGTCTGTCATTACTCCCAGTTTTATCAGACACATCCCATTAGTTAGAGGCCATCTATTTGAAGCCAATCACAGCACTCACTGTCTTTATTTTATTGGCTCACTCACATGAGCACAACACTTTCATCCTAGAAACGCCAATGGTGGTAGTAATAGCAGCAGCAAATATTTACTATATGGCAGGGACTCCACTGAGCGCTTCACAGGTAATGCTATATAACTTATTAATGAGATTACTGCTTATTAATGATAGTTAACTATAAATGGCAACCGTTAATAACTTGTCATAGTGCTATAAGCCTTCATTTGTAAGTCCAGTGCTTGGCACTCAGAATGGTTTTCCCAGAGTAATGTAGTAATTAATGAGGTTCTCAGAGCCAATATGTAAGTTATAGGGGAAGTTCCCGATACAGTGAGGATGATTTTATTTGACTGCTCTTGCTGTTTCACTCATAGATAGATATAATTTGAAGGTGAAAAATAAAAAATAAAGAGCAGTTTTCTTCACTGGCCAGTGCCATTCAATTCAGAACCAAAACCCCAAGGGTCTGAGTGATAGCCCAGACTTCAGGCAGAAGGACCAGGAAAACGACTTTGACTGCACCAGAGAGAGAACTGTAGGCTCTTGAGGAAGTGGCCGCCAGGCCAAAGACAGAAAGGCCAGGGCTCCTGACAAAGGCTGAGGGTCCAGCCTCAGTGTGCAGTCACAAGTGCTCATGCTTGCTAAGGTGAAACAGCAGGACCTGGTGAGTAGGCGGGGCAGGAAGACCACCTGTTGCAGGAATCTTTGGGAAGAGAAGTGTCAGACAGGATTGCAATTTCAAAAGGAGGGTACTTAAGTTTATATTTGCATAATGTTTGTCCACAATCAACAGGGTCCTGAGAGGCAGGCAGGAAAGAAGCTCTGAAGCCATGGGCCCTCCCACAAAGATACCCACTCCACACTGTCCCTCCCTGGGAACCAATGCCAGACACAGTCTCAATAATGGCCTGAAGCCCAAGCAACATACTTTAATCTTGGCTCAGGTCTGATTAAGCCCCAAAGCAGATCCAATAGGGCAGATAAAGGCCCAACAAGTTCAGTTTCTCTACAAAACTAAGAGGCACGATGCATTCCAATATCTCCAAGAAAAGGAATACAAGTTCTCACAACAAATAATAGCACTGTCCTCCCGTTGTTCATCGATTTGCTCGAGTGGGCACCAATAACATCTCACAACATATTGTGAGACTGTTTTTGGAATATTGAATACGTCATGTGTAGCTTGCCAGGCTTTGTTGGGTGGGTGAGATACTCTCGGTAGCTTGCCGGGCTCTCCGAGAGGGGTGGAGGAATCGAACCCGGATCAGCTGCGTGCAAGGCAAATGCCCTATCCGCTGTGCTATCACTCCAGCCCAACAAAGGACAGCCTATGCAAAAATACTTATTTTTCTTCCAGGCTAACAGAAATGAAAATTCCTAATAAAGATGTTGACCTAGTGACCTTAAAATGAAAAGAATATGCATTCGTGTGCACACACATGTACAGGTGCACACACACATATATGAGCAACATTTTAGCGTTTCAGCTATGACATTTTCAGTAAAGCTTTTTCTAAAGAGGTGCCACTGACATTTTCCAGAGACTGGATGAGAATGATTTGGTTTGGGGGCCTCATTGGGCAGTGCTCAGGAGCGACTCCCTGCTCAGGGGATCAAACCTGGGGCTCCCTCGTACAAGCATGCTTTCCAGCTCTTTCCTATTTCCTTAGTCCCTAGACTGAATTTTATTGAATCATTTTAAAAATTAGTCTCCCAGATGTCAACTTCTCAAGCCTCACTTACAGTCCCTAAGTCTGACCAGGAGTGATCCATGAGTACAAGGTCGTCAGGAGTAAACGCTAAGTACTGCTGTGTAATCCCCCCAAAACAAACAAAAAAATAAGTCATGGAAAAAATAAAAGTCATTTTATAATTAAAAACAAATTAGTTTCCCAACAGCTCACAATTGTAGTTATCTTATTCCTTTGACCTGTCTAGATGCCAACTTTTATATATTAGTGAGGCTTCAACCACTATTCCAACAAGCAGGGTCCTATAAAATTAGTGATTTATCAGCTCTGGAGTTGTATAATGCTGTGAATTAGGCTATGCCACATAATTATCAAATTACAGTTAATATATTCATTGATTGTCATATGTCACATATGACTCTATGTAGTCTGAAATTTTAGCCAGGAACTATATTTATCTTCCTCTCTCTAATAACACATTTAACCAGATCTTTTAGGGTGACACTACTTCTAAAGCACTTTTCGAAATTTCTTAGGAAATATAAAATGATCATTCCAACTATGGAAAGAGGTGGACAAGCTGAGAAACATACTTTATATCAACCCTGTTTTATAAATATGGAAACAGAGTCAGGATAAACGGATCTCTCCTTCATTCCTCCCCAGTGGGGTCCTCTCCTCCCCCAACTCTCATTATGGTCTTATTATGTTTAAATATCAGTTCTTTTATTTTATGTCAGTGTGCCTAAAAAAAACCTTTGGCACTGCTCAAATGACAGAACCATACCTAACACATGCAAGGCCCTGGGCTTAATCCCTTAATCTCTTAACTCTATGTCTCCCCCAGCCCAGGAATGTTGGGGTGGTCCTGGAGGACCTCAAGCACTAGATGGTCAGGCAGAAAATCACCTGCAGTGTCCACCTGTCCAACCCCAGAAACCCTGGGGAAGGCTCATATATTAAAAAAATTCCACAGACAAAGAGAACTCACTAGGTTGAATACTCATTTTTTTGCATGAGGGAGGCCCAAGTTTGATCCCCAGCACTACATGGTCCCCTGAGCTCTGTGTGCTGTGTATGTGTGTGTGTGTGTGTGTGTGTGTGTGTGTGTGTGTGTGTCTGTCTGTCTGTCTGTTGGGGGGGGAGAAGAAAAATTCAATTATGTGCCCAGACCCTAATACAGAGCCTGATAAGGTCTAAATTTAAGCTAAAGGTTTACAAAAATCTTCAAAAGAAAAAAGAAAACAGGTTCCAGATGGTACAGTGGACAGGTGCTTGCTTTGCACATAGCCAACCTGGGTTTGATCCGATGGCTGTGGGCACCACCCCCATTCTCCCAAAAGGAAGATAAATAAAAGGTGACGGGCATGAATATAAACCTTGGCATCCCCACTTTTGAGGATCTGTAAAGACAAATCTCTCCAGGCCCACTGCTAGAAATAGGCACATTTTGGCTCTATCCTATAAACACCACTGTATACATTTGGCATAATTTCTCTTTACACTTGGCACATAGGAGAAAACATACGAGAAAAACACATTAACTACTTCTAAGCAAAATGAAGAAAATCTCATGAACCTGACTTCACTATTTTTCCTCTTGTTTCTTTTTTCCAGCTTCAGTTAAAGAGAAAAATCCTGATTTACTAAATGTCTATTTGTGAGTATCAAATTCACCTAGGAATGATTCAAGTATAAAAAAAGGACCCTCAGAAAATAACAGTGATAGACACAGTACCAGC